TTATTGAAGTAACATATTGAATGACAAGAATTTATCAATATTTTATGATGCAACTTCAATAATTATTGTAAAGCATTTTTAATGTAGAAAAATATTTATATAAAACTTTTTTAAAAATAAAGATTTTATTTTTAAACATAGGAATATTAAAAAATATAAAATTATAAAAATTATCCATATATTGATTGTTTAAAAATTTACATATAATTTTTATAAATTTGAAAAGAAATAATAAAATATTAATTGAATAACTATTGTTTATTATATAAATAAATGAATAATTTTTGTTTATTATATTGTGATATTATAATAAAATTAGAAAATTCTAATATACATAAAAAATAAATAAAAAATTTTAAATAAAATTATTTATTGTATAAATAAGAAATTAATACAAAATCTTTGTGCATTATTTTTTGATTTTCTGGTTAGGCTAGTTTAGTTTCAATGAATAAATATATAGACCAAAAATGTTGAATACATATACAATTATTCAAAATTTTGTTGTCCTAAACAAATTAATCATAATTAATTAACTTAAAACATCATCTTGAACAGAAATAGTACATTACTATATTCTATTTATATAATATTACTTGAAATCTTTTTACAAAAGATGAGAGACGTCATATACATATCGATTTTTCCTTTCATTTAACAATTATACACTTTCCAAAAGCTTTTATTACACTATTATTGCAATGTCCATGCACGTTCTAGAAATTTAGCACAAATAACTAAGTGTATACGAATAACTAACACGCATCTGGATTTCCTTAACGCTTGACGAGCAAACTTGAACGACATTCAGTATTATAACTTCACGTTCTATAGTGAGCTTTATCAAGAACACTATAAGTGACACTAGTTAACATTTACCTTTTTAACGCATTTCGAAAAAATAGAAATATCCCGAAACACGATTATTTTGACTTTTCGCGATAATCACGCGGACACTACTGCTACGCCAAACGGGATATCCACGTAAAATGGCTACCATTCCTTTGTACCTTCTAACGGGATTACAGATATATAATACTCATTGTGATTGGACAAATTTCTTACTCTGTCGGTTGAATTTTAGTAAATGACCAATCATATATTCCCTTATAGAATACAACTAGTTTGCTTAGTATATCAGAATTTTACAATTATCCGCGCGTGTCGCTAGTGGTGAAATGGAAGTATACAGGAGCATTTTCATTGTTACGATATTTATATAAGAGAAATTTATATTAAACGATAAAATAATATGAAATTAAAAAATATTCAAATTATTGAATTATTGCAAATATGATAAATATTTATAGTTTGATTGTTAATTATGTAATTATTTTAAATATATAAAATTTTTTTTACATATTGTCATTATAAATATTGTCTATAAAAAATAATTTATATTATTGCAACTAATATATAATAATATTTTTAACTTTAGGATTATGATAAATATTTGTATAATTTTAACTTACAAAATTAAATTTAAAAATAATATTATAAATATGAAGTCTTAAAACTTATACACAATATATATATATATATATATATATATATATGTATACAAAACTAAAAAATTTCATTATTTCTAAATCATGATAACGTCATAATTCAATGGCGGGGTCGAGAGAAAACGTCATTTTGACAGAATGGCAGAAAGTCTAGAAAGTCAATTACAATTTATATTAAAGTATGTGTTTTTATTTATCTTATAAAAATGTAAAATTGTCTATTCATTAAATCATAAAAATAAGAAACAGAAAATAATGTCATAAATAATTTTCTTAAAATAACTAAAAAAAGTGAATTTCATTAAACGAAGTATATTATAAAATTTTATTGCGTCGTCAAAGTGAACGGTTGCAAAAATTGTACGTGTCGTGTTTGCAAATGCATCGTTAGTTTTACACAGAGTTCCTGACCGTAATACGGTACAGATGTGATGGAGGATTACAAATTTCTCTTTAAAGTTGTACTCGTAGGAAATGCGGGTGTCGGCAAGACTTGCCTCGTGCGCAGATTTACCCAGGTATATATGCATATACATGTATATTATTAATTAAAATATATTATTTTTTAATAAAAACATATTCTATATATATTTTATATACTTTTTATGTATATATATATTTTTATTCCATCTGTTTTTATAATTATACATATATGATTTATATATTTAAAATATAATATTTTTATATATAATTTTTAATTATATATATATCTATCTCTTATAGGGATTATTTCCCCCAGGTCAAGGTGCAACAATAGGTGTTGATTTTATGATTAAAACTGTAGAAGTAGAAAATGAGAAAGTTAAGGTATGTATATAACATAATATATTATGATTCATTCAATATTTAAATATATCTTTTTAGAATAATTTTGTTTTATTATAATTAATATTTTTCTTTTAGCTTCAAATCTGGGATACTGCTGGTCAAGAAAGATTTCGATCAATAACACAAAGTTATTATAGATCAGCTCATGCTTTGATTTTAGTATATGATATTTCTTGTCAACCTACATTTGATTGTTTACCAGATTGGTTAAGAGAAATTGAAGAATATGCAAGTAACAAAGTCCTTAGGATATTAGTAGGTAAGTAACAACTATATTATTATAATGATATATTATGTATTAAATATAAATAATTATTTTAGGTAATAAAATTGATCGAGAAGACAGAGAAATACCAACACATGTAGGAGAAGATTTTGCACAAAGACATGGAATGTATTTTTTAGAAACTTCAGCTAAAGAAGCAGAAAATGTAGAGCGATTATTTATGGAAATAGCTGCTGAACTTATGGAGGTAAAATGGAATAAATTATTTATCTAAACAATTTTTATTTGGAAAATTAATTAGAGTCAAATTAATATATTATTTTAGCAAGCACGCAGTAAAGAGCTACCTAGATATGAAACAAATACAACTTCAATAAATGGAAAAACAACATCAATTGGTGATACAAGTAACTGTGGTTGTAGTAGACTTTCTTAAGTAGCTTTTATATCTATGATTAAGTCATTCAACAAATGCATAATTTCAGTTGCTAAATATGTATGTAGAATATTATCATACAGTTTTTATAGAATATGAAGATTGAATTGCAATATTAGTCAATCTTCTATAACTAAATAAAAAGAATTTTAATATTAAAATCTTTAATATTATATGTTAGCATCTAGTGTTAACAAGCAGATTATATTGATAATTTTGTTGCAAAAAATATTTAATATCTGAAATTAAAATGAACTTTAAGTATGTTGATATATATTTGTCTTTGAATTTGTTTTTATAAATATTGACTGAAGTTTTTATATTAAAATATTTTGATTGCATTTAAATGATAAGTTAAAAACATATTATTTGATGTTGTATATGCATAAATGGAAGTTTACTGTATATTTTATAGTATTTTTTGTTATGTCAGAAGTACAAATAAGTATTTCATATTTGGTGACTGAATAAGAAGTTATTATGAATATAAGATTTTTACTAAAAATTATAAGCCTAATATTGTCCAAAATTTTCCCAAATTTGCAGTATACATAAATGTTTAATACTGCTTTAAGTCAACTGAAACAAACTGAAATTTGATATTAAAATGCAAACATATATTTATTTATGTTATCATGGTTAATGTAAATTATTATAAATAATTTTTTACTCTATCAATGCTTATCATAATGGGTGCGCAAGATTTTCTCAGTATATCATTAACATTTGCACAGCCAAAGTTTTGTTGTATTTTCTAAGATTTCATATTTATGTGCAATTTTAAATAATAGATAATTAATGCTTGTTCCGTCTTTGTATTATTTAAAGTTAAATTTTTATTATTATTTATGAATAAGATATTTCTTGTTCATACAATTAATAATATAATTTTTTTAGCACATTGTTCTAGTCTTTATACCTTTTTATATTTTACAAATAAAAATTCACAAGTTATCTCATATTTTGTACAATTATATTATAGAATTTATAATTACATTATGTGATAGATCACCATTATTTTTTACATGTTTTTATAAAAAAAAGTTAAGTATTTATCTTTTTTACTTTACATAATTTAAAAATTAAACAATTATAAAATAGAATCACATATATTCTTTTCAAATATATTTAAAATTATTTATTTGTATTTCTACTGATATTTATACCTCAGATAATCTATACTAATATTAAATTATAATAATTATCTGTAGGAATATATTAAAACATTTTGTGTAATTTTTTGTTAATAATATCATATGTTATGATATATAAAAATTGTTGCGATTCTTATATAATTATGCTGTTCTGATGAATGTAGTTTTAAATTCTGATTACATTTCTTATGCAATAATATTTTATAATAACATAATTTTTAAATAATACAGAATGTGCAAAATTTATAATAAAATTTTATTGATAAAAACATATCACTTTATATACAGATAAAAGACAACTATAAAGTTCTGGATTTTTTTAATTGTTTAACAAAAAATATTTCATAAGATATTAAATCTATGTATTATTTAAAATATAATTATATTATATTATATTATATTATATTATTTAGAAATGATCAGTTTTAAATTTAAAAATTGTTACAATAAATGACAAACAATTTTGTTTTGTTTCAAAATATTTAATACTTATGAAACATTTTTAAACAGCCTGCACTTTATTTAGTTGTGTTTTATGTGTTCATTTTATATTAGTATATATTATATTGAATTATTAAAAATAATCAGAATAATACTTTTATTAAAAATATATCTAACTTTTTTCAATTGATAAAATCTTTAATACACTTCTGCCATGTAAGTTTGTTGTAAAATTTTAAGATCCATTTAATAATATTTATATAAATAAATATAAATTAAAGATATATATATTTATTTAAAAAATTATTCCTTTCAAAAATATATAATTATATATATATATTAAAAAAATATATTTAATAAGTACTCATTATAATATATAATTATAATAATACTATATAATTATAATATAATTTGTTTAAATAAATATGTAATCATCTATATTTTCACTGTACATAATGAAAAAAATCATTTAGTTGTACTTGTTGAAGAGATAAATCAAATAATTTTTTTTGAATAGATAAATTCGACGCATCTGAATGAGCTCGACTGGGGCGACAATTATTAATGTACATACCACCACAGTTTTCAATTGTTTTATTTATAGCTGCATATATAATAGATGTAGCTCCTTGTTTGGCAGTCTGAAAAAATTTTTATTATTCTAATCTTTTAATTATAAAATAAATATTAATATATTTACCTTAAAAATATATTGATAAAATAATTTATATTTCCAAATATAGGAATGTATAAAAAGTTCTGTAAATACTAATCCAGGATGTACAGAATAAACTTGTATATAATATTGTTTTTGTTTTAAAAGATTTTGTAGGCCTTTTGTGAATATTTCTTGTGCCAATTTACTTTGTGCATATGCATATTTAGTGAGGAATTTGTTTCTATCTGAAGCATGAAATTTTCATGAATGAAAATATAAATTGCAAATGAAAAATAGAAAAAAAAATATAAAATATGATAATACAATACTTACTATTAATGTCATTAAAATTAATTTTACCCAGAAGATGAGCACAAGAAGTAATATTAATAATTCTACTACATTGTTCAGGAAGTCCACCAGATTTTAATAATGGTAAAAGTTCAGCTGTTAATAAAAAATGTGACAAATAATTTACAGCCCAGTGTTGTTCAAAACTATCCATTGTTTCTTGATAAGGACAAAACATGACACCAGCTAAAAATAATTAAATAAAATTAATTTTATTTCAATTTTGTATAAATTTTTATATAATTTTTTATATTATTTATTTTCTTTACCATTATTAATTAAAACATGAATCTGTTTATAATCTTTCTTTATTTCTGTAGCAAATTGTTTTACAGATTGTAAAGATGAATTATCAAGATTATATATTTTTGCTTGTCCAGTATTAACACCAGATTCTCTAATTTGGAGAATAGCTTTCTCACCTGCAGAAGGTGTTCTACAAGCTAAAAAAAAAAAAAAAAAAAAAAAAAAAAAATAAAATATATATATATATATA